CTCGGCCTCCCTGCCCGGCCCTCGGGACGCGGAGGGGGCAGAGGCAGCTCTGCCGGTGCCCGGCCTCCCTCAGCGCCTCCCGCTGTCCCTGCAGGGGAGTCGAGCACGGTGGTGAGCCCGTTCCTGCCCGGGGGCGTGAGCGACGGGCAGTGGCACACGCTGCAGCTCCACTACTACAACAAGGTACGTGTGTCCCTGCCTGTCCCCCTCACGTGTGCACCTCTCCCACGGGGCTCTGTGCTTTGTCCTCCTGTGAGGTTGCCCTGGGGGGTCCGTGCGTCCTGCTAACGCCTGGCGTTCCCTTTCAGCCCAAGCTCAATGCCCTGGGGGTGGTGCAGGGCCCCTCCAAGGACAAGGTGGCCGTCCTCACGGTGGATGAATGCGATGCCTCCGTGGCCCTGCAGTTTGGCAGCGAGATCGGGAACTACTCCTGTGCCGCGGAGGGGGTGCAGTCCAGCTCCAAGAAGTGAGTGGGTCCACGGGGCGCAGCGGGACGGCGAGAGGAGCAGGCCCCGGTGGAGTCACTCTGTCACGTGTGGCAGAGCCGTGTTGCACGTCCCTGGCTGCATGTGCTGGCCCTGGAGTGGTGCCCCCTTCCAGCCCCTCACAGAGGGGCTCTGCCCGGCCAGCCTGGCGCCACTGCGGATCTTACACCCTGGGCTGCTCTCCCTGCAGGTCCCTGGACCTCACAGGCCCCTTGCTCCTTGGAGGAGTCCCCAACCTGCCTGAAAACTTCCCCGTCACTCACCGGGACTTTGTGGGGTGCATGAGAGACCTGTACATCGACAGCAAGCGCATCGACCTGGCCTCCTACATCGCCAACAACGGCACGGCTGCAGGTACTGCCGCTGGCTCCCGCCTGTGGCCTCCCCGGCGGCTCGTCCCGCAGCGCGGCCGCGCTGTCCGAGCACCCTGTGAGCAGCTTCCCGTTGGAGAGGGGTCTCTGGACCCCCCGAGCAGCCAGATAATGCCATGGGGGTGTCTCCGGGAGGTGCTGCTCAGAGCCAGACCAGCCCTGCAGTGTCTTTTCCATGGCGTGAGGAGCAGTGGGAGCCTTGTCCCTAACCAGGCAGGGCCCGTGAGCGCGGCCAGCAGCTCTGCTGCCCCTTGGCAGCCAGGGGAAGGGGGGGCGGGGAGACGGGCAGGAGGCCGAGGCTGACGCGGGTGACCTTGCCGCCCGCAGGCTGCCACGCCAAGCACTCCTTCTGCGACCACAGCCCCCGCCAGACCG